ATTCCAGCCTATTGTCTCCTAACAATTTTCAAAGTATCTTCTTGAGGTCCGAATTAACCATTAAGTGTTTGCAATTTATCCCTCAAACTTTGGATTTCGCCATTTTTCGCTACATTTTGCTTCTTTTCTCCAATTATTCATCAAATATCAAGTTTTACCTACAAGATACAATGTGGCACAATTTAGGTCATATTTTGCCAAAAGAACAATAAAATTCTATATTTTCAAACCCCAAATAAGCATAGAAAATACACTTATCATGTATAATAATTAACAAATCACTACTTACTCAAACGTTGAAAATACGGAAATCAAAGGAGATAAAATGAAGCGAAATATGAGAATGTAAATCTCTTTAAGATGGATTTTGTCCCCTGCACTGATGCTAACATGATCAAATAGATGTTCGTTTTTAAAGATATAAACGCTTCTTCCAAAATTAACATAGTACACAATTAATTTTGCTGGTCGAACCAAAGTATAAACAATATTCTTCTTGAATTGAGTAGACACGAATTAAAAATTCGAACGAAATTTTATTTCTGAAAGAATTTTTTTCAACAAAATAAAAGGAATGAAATTTTTTAAAAGATGAGAGAATTATAAATCAATAATAATTTAAATTGATTTGATGTAGGAAAAATGGAATTACAGGTCTTTATTTATACATTTTCAAGTGACTTGTTGAAATGTTGCATTTCTTAACATAGATGACACATTTTCACATTATATGGTGTAGTATACACCTTTTTCATTGAAATGTTGCATTTCTTGGCATAGATTAATGATGTAGTATATACCTTTCATCATACATTTTTTAAAGTCACACTTATTCTAAGTAACATGACTCCTTATAATAGAAGGGACGCCTATTGAAGACATTCCAATTCACACTATAAATAATTCCAATTATTGTAGCGGTGCTAGGGCGGAGCCACCAAGAATTTGGTGAAGTGTGGCAATGTGAAGGTTGAAGGGAGCATGGGAAGGACTGGGCTAGGTGCTTTCAGCAGGATGTGCATAATCCATAGGAGAACTGGACAAAAATAATAATATCATTTATTTAAATATGTTTTATTATTTTAAATCAGTGATATGTAATATTGATGTTATTATTAATTATTTTATGTTATTCCAATTAATGTCATGCTCGATGTGTCACACTAGAATTACTTGTCTTCGTTAAAAGTAGTGTTCTATAATATTTGTCTAGGTGAAAGGTTGGATGATGGAGTGAACGCGGGCCGAGATCAGGTGCACGAAAACTAGATGATTTCATAAAAGTTCGAAAAGAAGGTTACAAGAAAAAGAAAAAAAGAAAAAAGGTGAACACCCAAATTGCCACAATAACTATAAATCATGTTATATTTGGATAAATCTCAAAAAATCAATCTTTGCGCTTTCTAATTTATCTCAATTACACCCTTAGCCGATGTTTAGTTTTTCCAAAAAATAGCTAATTATCAGAATTTGGTACTTTGCAACACACATTTTTTAATAAAATATTTGTGCCAAACGAATTTGCTCGTTGTAGGATCTGACAGTTGATAAGTACATTTTACATACTTATTTTACTGTCAAAACATGAGCAATTGTTGATTAATATGTTGGAATATAGTTTAATTCTATGCAATTCATGTTTTGCAGGACAAGTGATGAATGTGGCGGAAATAATTAGAAATAAGTGAAAAATAACCAGAATAGAAGAAAGTGAAAGTTCAAGGACTAAAGTGCAAATACTCAAAAATTATGTCGGAACTCACGATGAAGTGG